GACTCAGCAGAAAAGCCAAGCTCACTCATGCAGACTAGAGGACACACCGAACCTGAGGACAAATCAACCAGTCAAATCCTACTCAGCTGAGGTTGACATAACTTAATAATTCAAAACTGAGAGCTTTTTCATTTAAGGTCCAAAGTAAAAGGAGACATGGTCGTCTCCTCATTACAAACCCCGATGCTGTGGTCTTTGGGCCTGTCACTGCCCACATCTACGCATCCTTTCTCAGAACCCCATAATCCTGGCTCTGATGTTCGCCGACAGGGCATCGGTGACATCACAACACCCCCCTCAATTTCTGCTTCTCAAGGTCAAAGCACAGATTCTAAGGTAACCAATGACTGCCTGGCTAAGGGTCCCCCAAGACCAGCTCTGGTGAAAAAGTGGTTTCTTATTTAAAATTTTATTTCCTTTTAGAGCAAGAGAAGGGGAGGGACTGATTTCTTTTTTCAAAAATAGTGGAGGTGAGAAGGTGCGAAGGAGACCAGTGCACTGAGTATGTCACAGAAAGTCACACATATGCCTGCATCCCAACACCAAGAACACATGCTTCACCTCCAAGGCAACTTCCTTCCTTCTACTGAGGGGACAACACTAACATCTGAAGCTTGTGGTGCCTGCAGACTGTTTTTCCTCCTTATCTAGGAATCGTGGGGCTTAAGTAAGAAATCAAACGCGACGGGGACCAGCAGTGGGTCCTGAGCAAACTGGAACAAATAGAGCCTGCTCCCACTGTCGGGCAGCTCAGCTCTGGACCCGCCTTCCTGCCCTGAGAGCAGCAGCACTAGAGCCTCTGCAGTTCAGGGACCGCTACCCCATCGCCATCTAACCCTTAATGAGCCGAAGGGAGGCCTGGAAAAGGCAGGCTTCCCTTTGAAAGGGCGCCGCCCTGAGCCCCTTAGCTGCTGAGACACCCTCACAGGACATGGGCGTGCGCTGCCTGGGCGAGAGCAAGAGAGCATCTCCTTACTTCTCAAGCTGCCGCAGCCTCTGCCGAAGCTCCTGCGTGGCGATGGGCAGCGATATGTCCGAGGCTATGCTGGGGGTGGGTTCCTTGATGAAGATGTGGCTGGGGGAGCCGGTGGTGCCGCCATGGAGGCTAGAGGCGCTTCTGCCCAGGTCTCGAGGCCCCTGAGGGCTGGTCTCCGCAGGCTGGGCTCTGTCCTCCACGCTGGACTTCGCACCGCCTCCAAGGACTGGAGTGGACGGGGCTGGGCTGCTGTCCCCAGCGCCTGGTGACATGGACACCTGAGACCTGACAGATACTTTTCTCCCTCCTTTGGAAACTGAGGGTCGCTTTACTTGAGCTGAGTGCTGGTGGTCTGGAGACCTGTCTTGCTTTTCGAGGTGGAGTACCTAGAGGTGGAAATAAACAAGTTAAAATCAGTAACACTGGTAATAGCCTGATACATGAACGCTTTCGATCTATTCACTTGCCAATTCATTTAAAACTTAGCATAAAACAATATGGACAATCTGGTCTACCTGTTCACCTGTTCTGTTATTAAAGTAATACGACGTTATAGAAAGCTTTAAAAAACAAAGTTTAAGTGGTCAAAGTATCACTTCTATGATGTACACATCATTTCTGTGTATTCTCTTCAGCCTCTTCCATTTGCACAAATTTCTGCACAGTTGTGGGTGATGTTATCACTGGAAGAGCCTGAGTTGCTGCCCTGCACCGCCTGGTCCCCTCGTCCTACCCAGGTGGAATAGTCTCGCCTCCATCAGCAACCCTGGGGAAGGATGAGAGTCACGGACACCTCTACCCAGCAAAATTACCCCAAATTCCTAGCATCAATGGGGGAGCAGCCCATGCCCACATTCACTTTGCTAGTTTTTAATATATATATATTTTTTTTAATCCTCACCCGAGGATATTTTTCCATGGATTTGTAGAGAGAGTGGAAGAGAGAGAAACAAATCAATTGGTTGCCTCTTGCACGAGTCCTGACCATGGCCTAGGCCGGGAAGGACTCTGCAACTGAGGTATGTGCCCTTGACCAGAATCGAACCCAGGACCTTTAGGTCCACAGGTCGACATTCTATCCACTGAGCCAAAGTGGGCTTAATATTTACTTTAACATACACCAGTCCACTGAGCAGAGTTAGACCCCATACACTCCTGCATTCTGCGGGCACTGTGATGGCCAGAAGTTTTTTCCTGCTTTTACAAAGGAAAGCTGCAGCAGCCAGCTTCATATTCATGGTCTCCCCACACTGTGCATTTTAACTGAAAGTCCGATTTCCAGGGGCTCTGGCCCCAGGGCTCTGTGACCTATGGCCTGGAGACACTGTCAGGAGAGGCTGTGCCCACCAGGTCCTGACTGGGACCACAGAGCACATTCCACAGCACCCCACACACCAAGTTTGTCTTAATTCCTTAAAAAGGTGGCTCTCCATTTTAATTTGAATTTTTAAAATTAGCGAGTTTCAGCATTCTCTCATGTTTGCCAGTTTTATTTTTAATATTTCCTTAGGTGCTTACACATGAATTATTATCTTTTTGGACAAAAAAAATTGGGGTAATTTCTACCATCTTATAGAATTTTCTTAAATTCTCTTCTGAATGACTATTGAAGATTTAATCTTAGCAGAAAGCTCTGCTGACCCCGATAGCATACTTTCTGGGCCAACGTCTAAAACGCGGTCAATGCACCCACCTGACGGTGGACGGACCCCTGGACTGCTCAGGCCACCAGGACACTCTCCTCTGTGGGAAGTCGCGTCCAGGCCGCCATCCTCTCCCTGAGCTCCCACGGGCAGTGTTCTCCACGTTCCCCGTGCCATGTCCACGTCCACTGTGTCCTGAGCCCGGTGGCTATCACCGTGATCACCGTCCACCTGTCCTGAGCCCTGTGGCTGTCACCGTAATCACCGTCCACCTGTCCTGAGCCCGGTGGCTATCACCGTGATCACCGTCCACCTGTCCTGAGAGCCGTGGCTGTCACCGTGATCACCGTCCACCTGTCCTGAGCCCTGTGGCTGTCACCGTGATCACCGTCCACCTTGTCCTGAGCCCCATGGCTGTCACCGTGTCCACCTTGTCCTAAGCCCTGTGGCCGTACTGTCCACTGTGGAACAGCTCCTGAGAGCTTTGCATGGTAGTCTGTGCCCGTGCACCCCGTGCTCCCCTGGGAGACTACAGTACCCTGAGGGCGACCTTCATCTTCAGAGTGCTGTTTGGACCTGAATTACTGAGCTGGAATCGCTGGTTCATGGTCATGTCATCGCTGGTGAGCAGACGGCTGAGTGGGATCTTCAGGTTCCCCAGGCAACACTGATGTTGTTCATCTTTGACCTGGAAACACACCACAGAACACACTGAGCTCCGCGGATAAAGACACAACGTAGAAAGGTCCAAATCCAGTCTTTAAAAACACACTTCAACCATCTCCTTAGGCAGTGCTTCCTTAAATGATAACAGAAAACCTCCTTGGGAAGACAGGGCACCTTGGGATGAGTGATGCTACACTGCATCTGCGCCACATGCGTCTGTCACTTCCTCATCACACATTTGTGAGCGAAAAAGGACACACGGTTAGGAGTCCATTGGGAGAACCTCTAGTTAAGAGGCAGCAATCTGAACAAACCCGAAGAATAGAAAGAAACGTCTTAAACCCTGTGAAAATGATGACCATGCACATTTGTATAATGTGTCAAGTTTGACTGATGACACTTGTTTATGGAGAAAAAATTTCTCGGTGTCTTTTAAGCCTTCTCTATTCAAAATCTACACATTTGTTTAGAACAGGGGTCCTCAAACTACAGCCCGCGGGCCACATGCAAATACAAATATTGTATTTGTTCCCGTTTTGGTTTTTTACTTCAAAATAAGGTATGTGCAGTGTGCATAGGAATTTGTTCATAGTTTTTTTTAAACTACAGTCCGGCCCTCCAACGGTCTGAGAGACAGTGAACTGGCCCCTGTTTAAAAAGTTTGAGGACCCCTGGGGTAGAAAATTTATAGCATCTCCTTTAAATGCCGGGAAACTCCTGCCTCCTGAGCGATGCTCTGCGGCATGACCTCTGCAACAGGAGTGGCTCCTGTTAGACTGCAGTCACACAAAACAGTTCATAACCAAACAGAGGAAGAGCTTCACAGGCTACATGAGACGGTCAGAGAAGTTATCTGAGATGAAAACCTAGATGTCTGATTGCTAATTTCTTTATAACCTGTAATCCAAAAGCTTTTTTATTTTTTAAATGTGTTTTTATTGATTTTTATAGAGAAAGGAAACGGGGGAGAGAGAAACATTGACTTGTTGCCTACTACATGCACCCCAACTGGGGATTGATCCCGTGACCTGGGCATGTGCCCTGACCAGGAATCAAACCGGTGACCTTTTGGTGTATGGGATGATGCCCAATCAACTGAACCACACTGGTCAAGGCTAAAAGCATTTTTAAAAGAAATAACTGTGGCCTGGCTGGTGTGGCTCAGTGGTTGAGCGTTGAGCTATGAATCAGGAGGTCATGGTTTGATTCTTGGGGCAAATACCTAGATTGCAGGCTCAATCCCTAGTAGGGAGCATGCAGGAGGCAGCCAATCAATGATTCTCTCTTATCATTGATGTTTCCACCTCTCTCTCCCTTCCTCTCTGAAATCAATAAAAATAGTTTTTAAAAAAGAAATAATTGTGATGTTGTTTACTGAACTTTAAAAGCTATTTTTTAAAACTCAAGATCCAGTTAATACAGATTGTTTTAAGCATGGTGCAACTTATGAAGGAAAAAGGAGCTAAACAAATACAAAATTTAGCTAGACAGATTACATGTTGTATAAAAGGGAATGTGGCCCTAGCTGGTTTGGCTCAGTGGATGGACTGAAGGGTCCCGGGTTCAATTCTGGTCAAGGGACCATGCCTGGGTTGCAGGCTCGATCCCCAGTAAGGGGCGTGCAGGAGGCAGCCAATCCATGATTCTCTCTCATTACTAATGTTTCTCTCTCTCTCCCCGCCTCTTCTTTTCTCTCTGAAATCAATAAAAATATAACAAAAATAAATAAAACCTCTCTTCTAAAAAAAAAAAGGGGGGGGATTTGAAAACATAAAACACGCAGAGAACAATGAACACGGCAGTGACCAGGCACTCTGTGGGGGAGACGTGAGGCCCCCAGGGCAGGACATGACCCTCGGGCCTCAGGTCTCAGGGGCTGAGGAACCCATCAGAGCAGCACAAGAGAAAGAGCAAACAGAGGCCCTTCAACTTCTCAAAGCCTGAATGTTGGAAAGGAGGCCTTGCAAAAAGAAACATGGGAACCAGCACAGCTGAGTCTGGGTATTTGTGCGCCCGCCCCTGGGATGACCGTGCAAGCTGGGTGACCCACTGTCCTTTATGCTGAGGTGAGGTGAGAGGAGGACGGACAGCCCTGGGACTGCAGGCGGAATCCAGGGAGCGCCCGCCAGCTCCTCCTGAGGACGGCATTTGCTGGAGGTTATTCTGCTTTGGCATGATGGAGTGACAGGACCGACTTACCATCCCACCTCAGCTTAAAAACAAGTGAGGTGAGCCTGACAACTGACCTGGGCACTGCCTAGAGCAGTGATTCCCAAAGTGGGCGCTACCGCCCCCTGATGGGCGCTGCAGCGATCCAGGGGGGGCGGTGATGGCCACAGGTGCATTTGTTTTAACTTTTTTTGTATTACCTTTCTATTCTGAGTTCAATAAATAGTTTCATAATTTCAAACTTCAATGTTTCTAATTTACACCTTTCTTTACTATATTTTATGAAAAAGGTAGAAACATTAATACATATATCTTTCTGTTTAATTGCTATTAAAATTTTTTAAAAAAATTAATTTCCAGGGGGCGTTGAGTAATATTTTTTCTGGAAAGGGGGCGGTAGGCCAAATAAGTTTGGGAACCACTCGCCAGGGTGCCGGGATGGGGATCCCACAGAGGCCAGCGGTCCCCCTGTGTTGAGGACACAGGGAGAAGCAGTCATAGAGCAGGAGGTGCCAGAGAGGGGGGAGCCCCAGAGAGCTGGAGGCCCCGAGGACCCCTGCATCTCAGCCAATGGGCACATGCGAGAGAGCAACCACAGGAGGGTGCATGCCCAGGAGGAGCAGAGGACAATCCCAGGGCACATGGGGCTGCAGAAAACCTGGTGACGTGTGGGGCATCAGATTAGGGCCCCCAGATCCCAAGGCTAGAGGCTGTCGGGCTGCCTAATAAAGCTCCAAGTATTCCCAAGTACCTTCCCTCCAGATGAGAATAGAGCTCCAAAATATTTAAAGACACACTAACCCCGCACGCAAACATGTACAATTACCAGGCAACCAAAGAAGCACTCATATCTGATCCACAGATCCAGCAACCACACAGACAATGGGATTGTGGCATCACAGAAGCTGTCAGACCCAGGCTACACACACGCAGGAAGGCAGAGGAAAGACATGGAAAACTAAAGATCCAAACTCAGCTTCTAAGATGAACATCGGGAAGGCCAGAATACACAGGATGGGGCTGACAGGTGAGACATGTGAGGGGAAAAATGGGAGAAGGAATGTTCAGGCTCCTCATCAGAAACAATGTAAGAGGGCAGAAAGTGGAAGAAAAAAACAGGTAGCCAAAATGCTGTATCTTGTGAAAATATGAAGGCGAAACAGACTTTCCAAACACACAGAACTGGAAGAGCCCGCTGACTGGCCCTGCGGGAACAGATAAGGGCCTGGGTAGAAGGGAAACTGCTTCTGCTGGAGCAGAGTAAGAACCTGAGTGGCAAATATGTGGCTAAATAGGAAAAACTACTTTCTAGATTTCTAGAAAGCTCTTTAAAATATATTTGACTGTTTAAGGCAAAAATAATAAAATATACTCTGGGAGAGTGGAAACAGAAGCATGCCCTGGAAGGTCCTTGTACCCCTGGAGGCCAGTGTGCGGAACAGAGGGACCGGAACCCTAGAGCAATCACTAATCCACGCAACACCAAGCACAGAGCTACAGCTGATAAACCAAAAAGGAGGTAAAGTGCAGTTATACAAAATGCTCACTCCCAAAGAAATCAGATTAAAAAAGCCAAAGATAACAAATGGGCAAATAGCATGGTAGCAGATTTAAATCCAACCACATCAACAATAACTGTATGCTGTCTATAAGACATCACCTTTAAATATAAATTACAAATAGGTTTAAAAAAAGATGAAAAAAAGAAGCATGTTAACTTCAATAAAAAGAAAGATGGGATAGCTATACTAATATCAAGCAGTCGATTACAGAGTAAAGAATATCATTTAATTGAACCGTAAAGGAAATTTTTATAATGATAAAGGAATCAACTCGTCAGGTGGGCATTATAATTCTGCACAGACTCTTGGAAAAATAAAGAGGAGAGAAAACCTCCCAACTCTTTCTACAATCATCATCCTGATCCACAAGCTGGAGAAACAAAATTATAGACCAGTGTCCTGGACTCAGGTGCAAAAATTCTTAACAAAATTTTAGCAAATTAAATGAATCCATAAGAAGGATACAACGTGATGACCAAGTGAACTCATCCCCTAATAAAGGTTTGCTTGTGAGGTTCCCTAATGTTAAATCTTGAAAACCAAATAAAGGTGTACATTATTTAACGTCTGAAAGTCACCATATTTACAAACGTGGGAACGCTAGATGACACCTCAGCAGGTGCAGAGAAGCCTCTGATAAAATTCCATGTTCACTATGACAAAACTCTCAGCAATCTAGTGGCAGGAGAAGGAAACGCCCTAAAACTTCAGGCTTCATGCTGAAGGTCTACGGCTCCCCTGGACCCGAGGAGGCAGAGGGGGCTCCTCACACGGAGACCCGAGGCCGGAAGGGCAAGGCAAGACAAGGGAGGCAGAGGCAGCGGGTTGGAAACACAGAAGCAGACGTGTCTTTCTGAGCAGATGACACGACTCCCTGTGTAGAAGGCAATCCTGAAGTATCCTCAAAAGTGCTATGTAACTAATAAGGTCAGCATGGCTGACAATATGATGCCAACGTACAAAATCAACTGCATTTCTAGATACCAGTAACATTCAATCAACAGTCTAAAGTTAAAAAAAATTACTGATTATGGTGATGGATCCATAAATTATACACTTTAAATATGTGCAGTTCATTGCATGCTAATTATATTTCAATAAATCTTTTAAGAATGCAAATAAAATACCTCAACTTCAAGGTCCTGGCGCTTCGGATTGTGAATGAAAAAAGTGAAGTTTTCCTCCCACACAGGTTCATTGGTTTTGTACCGAATCTGAAAGAAATATCCCCCAGTCAGCTCTTAGCTCTGTGGCTCCTTTCTGTGTTGATCAGTTTATGTGTTTGGTAGCTAGGGATGACTTTAATTAATTCCAAGACACACACTTACTGAGCACGTGCTCTTATGTATCAGCTGTGGAAAGTATTCAAAAGACAGTCCCAGCTTTTAGAGTGTGCCGGGCAGCGCCCCAGAGCCCCCAGCCGTGTGCCCTCCCAGTGTGGCTTGGCCCTCCTTGGGCTCCCGTGGGCTGCACAGCTCTGCATTCAGGAAGCTTCTCTAACGAACTCTGAGCAGGTGAGTGTGAACAAAGGCCTGTAACTTTAAACAGTCCCTGAAATGCTTCTCTCGCATCAGGAAAGTGGGACCTCCTGCAGCAACAGCAACGTCCTCTCAACAACTCCCGACAGAATTGCATTTGTTACATTTTAAACAAAATATTTATAGAACATTCAAAGAAAACTTTCACCTATCCATGAAATCAAGCAAAAGCATATTCATGACATTTTTAATGTTGTTTTTTAAAGTGAACAATATATTTGTTACCAAATTCAGTAGCTAGTAATCTATGAAATGACTGATTTGAGAAAAAAGAAAGATATGGAAAATGGAGGTCTCAACACCTGCACCATCACCTGACGCAGGTCACCACCTGACAGGCGAGAGTGACAGTGACGTCACAGGAAGTGGTCAGCACACAAGGCCTTACCTTGCTCTCCTGGGCCTTGTGACCAACTGACATCTGCACCAGTGGGTTGGGGTTGCTGTTTATTTTCTTCCCAGACTATCCAAAAACAAAAAAGACAAAATCAGTAACAAATACCCTGAAAGAGGCTGTTGATCATGAAACGATTGGCTACACTAAGGCATTGCTATTTGCTTCTGAGACAGTAGTTTACAGGGACTATCTGGGAGTAACTGGGAAAGAATCACTAAGCACAACCCAAACTATAACTGTATCCACCATAAAATATACCAGAAGTTCTATTTACACATACTTTTTAAGCGTTAAGTCTTTTAGTTTTAGAGCAAACTACTTTGAAAACATGAAATTTTCTGACTATCTTTATTGATAATTCCAGCTCTCAAACATTATTTGACCGGGATAACAAAATAAATAAAGTGAGATTAATGAATACAAAGACATGAGCAAGGACAAACGTAAAAGAGTATAGAATCCAGCCCGGCCAGTGTGGCTCAGTGGTTGAACATTGACCTATGAATCTAGAGGCCACAGTTTGATTCCCAGTGTGGGGCATGCAAGAGGAGGAAGCTGATCAATGATTCTCTCTCATCATTGATGTTTCTATCTCTCTCCTCCTCTCTGAAATCAATAAAAATAGATATATTTTTAAAAAGAGTATATAGCCCTAGCCAGTTTAGCTCAGTGCATAGGGTGTTGGCCTGTGGACTGAAGGGTCCTGGGTTTGATTCTGGTCAAGGGCACAATGCCCAGGTTGCAAGCTTGATCCCCAGTGAGGGACATGCAGGAGGCAGCCTATCAATGATTTTCTCTCATCATTGATGTTTCTATCTCTCTCTCCCTCTTCCTTCCTCTCTGAAATCAACAAAAATATATATTTTAAAAAAAGAGTATATAATGCAGAACAGTTCTCTAGTTGGAATAATAAAAATACTACAAAGTGTCAGAAACATGTTTTCACATTTTAAACTTAGTATCTTCTGCTCAAACATGTAGCTATCAGATATCAAGTCTCACTGGCCAGCGCCTAAGAAATTTTGACTGGAAGAATAAACAGCAATCTAGAATTGCATTAAATTAAGCAGTAAGAATATAATTTTAAAAATTGTAAGAAGCATATATTTTAGCTGATAGAAGAAAACATAGTAAAACACAACTATATGGGACATGAGGTTTATTTATAACTTAGTCTCACAGAAGATTCAATTAAATATCTGTTAGTGGAAATTAATTAGATCACAAAAATGTTTTTAGTTAAACAATTTTAAAGTCAATCCACAACAATGCAGCAAAGATAAAAATAAGCATCAAATTCATGATTATTGGAATAAAATATTACTAGCCCACACCTACTGCGATAATCTATTTTCTGGTTCATCTTTTTGATGTGAATGAATTCTGTAAAACGAAATAAATACTGTTAAACAATTCAAAAGCTACAGGCTACCGTGGGAGAGACACCGCTTGCCCCCTAAGTCCACTTTCCCTCTTCCCTGGACGATAGGACCCTGGCATGTGAGCTGGGCCCAGGCCTCTGCAAACAAAGCTTCTATTTCTGAACCTCCCTTGCAGTCAGGTGTGGCAGGTGCAGTCTGGCCTGAAAAGGGGAGGCATCTCCTGCCCCTTCCCAGGGACCCCCTTTTGGATGGAGGTAGCGAGCAGGCAGAGGCCCAGCCAGATTCAGGGATGCTGGAGGGAAGTTACCTCTGTCTTGCTGAACTACAACTTCTCCTGAATCTGACTCAGAAGCTGAGTGTATTTAACTAATATACTTACTTCATCTTTGAAAAAGTAGCCATTCATTCCTAAAAACTTACAATATTTATAAGACTTTTTTTTAACTTTCTACTTTGAAAGCAATGAAACTCACAATTGCTGACTTTATGTGCCTGCTTTTGGGAAAATCAAGGTGCTGGGGGAATGGCTACTTCCTTGGCCCACTTGGCTTGCTTCCGTTCTCCTTCTGTGCGTGCATGTGTGTGACATGGTGGAAATCTGTGTATCCTAAGCCTAAAAAGTCTTTAATAAGTATGAAATAAACACTAACAAACCTTTACTGACATGTTTTCTTTCTTTGTGGTACGTAAAGTAATGATGTATCTTAAAATAAATGACATTTTAGATTCCAAATCACTAAGTTTTCTACTATGATTCCACATTCGGCACAACTCAGAGACACAGATATCATGAAGCTAAGTCACGACTTCCCTGAACTTATAGCTCAATTCCTTACCCCTTGATTAGTGAGACCCACAGTTCATCTAGTTGAACCCTGGTTCTCAGTTCTATAAAATGGGCATGGTACCATTTCCAGAAGCTAGCTGTTAGGCGTAAATGAGGTGAAGTAATAACAATTAAAATGAACATATTGGACAAGCTGCATGGGATCCTTTCCTTGCGTGATCTCATTTAACGTACTCACTACTCCAGCAAAGAAGACACTGTCACTTCCGTCCTATAAATTATTAATTCATGCTGGACTCCAACCCAAGCCATCTTCAGTTCTCAGCTTTGTTCCAACCATAACACAGAAATGGGAGGAAAGCCTGTTGATACACTCCTTACAGTGTTTTAGGGGCAGTATTTCAACTACTGCAAACAAGGTCCCGCAAGGACTTAATAAAAGCTACATCAAAGTGGGCTCTATCTGCCCTGGCCAGCCTGGCTCAGTGGATAGAGCATCGAACTGTGGACCGAAGGGTCCCACGTTTGATTCCGGTCAAGGGCACGTACCTCGGTTGCAGGCTCCTCCCCAGCCTGGGCCCTGGTCAGGGCACGCGTATAGGAGGCAACCAATCGATGTGTTTCTCTCACATCGGTATTTCTCTCTGTCTCTCCCTCTCTCTTCCACTCTCTCTAAAAATCAGTGGAAAAATACCCTCGGTGAGGATCAAAAAACAAAACAAAACAGGCTTTATTAGTGTTTCCCACTTTTGAAATTTAACTTATCCTCCAGATGAAACTGATTTAAAAACATTCCTGATTCCTTTACATGGAATTTTCTTAAAATAATTACATTTAAACTCTCCCCTCAAATATTTAAGTCTAGATAGAATGTTCAAAGAAATCAAAGAAAAAATAATAAAACATCGTAAGTCATAGAACTTTAACAATTTAAACAGAAAATACATGTTCCTGGTGTTTTAGGGAGTGGAGCTCAGTTTTCAATATCCATCACTGAATGAAATGTAAAGCTTCCCCAAAGACCTGGCCCCGCGCCACAGCGCCGGAAGCTCCAGGTCACCCGCGGAGCCGGCCTGACTCGGCATATTGGAAGAGGTGATGTGTAAACAGACAGCCACCGTGACAAGGGGCACCTGCGCTCCAGGTCTGAAGACGGGGTAAGATTTTAGACAGAACTTCTAGTTCATCATTTTCACAAATTCAAATCCAACTGAAACAGGTCATTTAAAACCACCTTAGATATTGCTACCTAAGGTCAACAAGACGATGTCTAATTTTACTTTATAAAATTTTTCTTCAGAGCTGACTTAAATTCTCTACTAATTCTTGGTCAACAGAAGTAGGCTCTCTCTAACAACCACTAATTACTAATTAGTAATACACCACGAGGGCTGCAGCATCATCTCTTTCAATATGTCTTCATGAACTTTCAAAGGGAAGCCATTTGTTTACCTTTAAAGCTTTCTGAACTGCAGTCTTCTTCAAGACACCGGGGTTACACCCT